CCAATGATTATGGTGGTCTGCACCCCTATATTTTTTCTTCTTTGCGAGAGCTGCAACAGCACCTATTACTGCACTGCCTCAACAATTTTTGCGGGAGCTCACGGATCTCTAACTCCCAAACATGTCAGGTCGCACTCGAGACTATCGTTACCTAACACATCCTCCTAAGTGTCTGACAAGATTTCCTAAGATTCCAGTGAAACAAAGCAGGGGGTCCTCTCGGTCTCATTTCTTGCTTCATAATAGACCGATGAGATAGATATGGAACAATGATAGCAGACTGAGGATACAAAGTTGTTTTCTGTCAGCTGATTACCACAATAAAGCTGGTCTAGTCCCATGACTCTACAACGTGTGTCTGCGATTTTGCGAACCCAGGAGGGGGGCTGTGGAATCACCGCACGGATTCTGGAACATAAATTTAACTACAGAGAAAAACTTGTTTGCCTTATATTGAAAGGCTTCCATCAACTAATTCACACTTTCATTTTATCAACAGTGAAAGAATAGCCCAAGCTCCAGAAGCAAACTTTTAAAAAAGCTAACAAACACATTCTACTATCGAGTATTCAGAAGTTATTTAAATTATAGCTAAACCTATTTTTGTTGATCAAAATAGGCCTGCTATCATACTTGTGCGTCTCAAAAATGCACACTGCACTCGTGCGGCGGGATGCTTGTCTTTGTTCAGATCATTTTCACAAAGGGGAACGACATTAAGAAATAAACACTGAGGATCGGCTCCCAGTGTTCAATATATGTTGCTATTATTCAAATCAGACATCTGACTGACATAAGGAAGCCCGACTAAAAACCTGGTACAAACTTCGAAGACAACCACCAAGCCCCATATCCAGATGGGACACGTGGGAGTATGAGCTTGCTGACCTACCAAATAAAAGGTTCGATTACCAAGGTGTTACACACCACCTGAAGTTGATACCAAGGCGACCAACCGAGAAATCCACATTTTCAGTGATGACACAGAAAGAGTCTGTGGCTCGGTTGACTAACTGCGCACTGAAGATCACAAAGAAGCATCCATACAAGTTTCATCCTCTCACGTTCCATGCGGCAACTTTCCATCCCAAGGTTGGAACTCAAGTTCCGCTGCACTGGTCGACGCACAGTTGACAGATTTGCTCAGAAAGGAGTTGACCCGTCCCATCCAGAAGATTTACCTGTGGAGTGATTCCACTACAGTACTTCGTTGGCTGAAGTCCGACTCTTGAAGATACAAGGTGTTTGCCGGGACACGAGTAGCAGAGCTACAGTCCCTAAGCAGTGCAGAGAACTAGCGTTATGTCATCACAGCCAACAACGGCGCTGATGACATCACTCGGGGTAAGGCTGTGGCCGAGCTGTCTAATGAACCAAGATGGAGAAATGGCCCACCTTTTCTGTCCTTAACTCCTCATCGCTAGCAAGCAAGCCAATTGGTTGATGAACCAGAGCGTAACTATGCGAGAGTCCCAGTTGCCAAACCCAGAACTGTACTACAGCTGGAATGATCTCATCTGGGCTGCCAAAGAGCTTCGTGACACAGCAGCAAATGCTGACATATCTCCTTCAACATTGGTCGAGAGGGAAGAAGTTATCGTGACCAAACTTTTGCTTCAGATACAACTAGAGTGCTTCCCCCAGGAAGTTCATGCTCTGATGCAAAGCAAGAAGTTGCCTTCTGGGAGCAGATTATGATAAAACTTCTATGATGAAACTTAGAATGATCAGAGTGGGAGGGCGATATCGAGGACCTCCCACAAGAAGTTAAGCACCCAATCATTCTTGACCAGAAGCATCATATCACCAAGCTTGTCATCCGATACTACGATCAGCGACTCCTTCATCCTGGGGCTGAACGTGTTCTCGCAGAAATGCGACGGAAATTCTGGATCCTGGGAGGCCGAGAGGCAATTCGTCAGCACCAGCACTCGTGCAACGATTGCTGCAAGTTGCGCGGTAAACTAGCAATTTCAGATGGCAGACCTGCACCCTTCCAGTCTCAAGCGGGCCTTTTTCTCAACGGGCGTTGATTGCTTTCCGCCAATGACGGTTAAGATTGATCAACGTACAGAGAAGAGATGGGGAGTCATGCTTCGGTGCATGATCACACGTGCTATACACTTGGATTTGCTGGAGAGCTTGACACAGATGCATTCCTGATGGCCTGTCGCTGTTTCACCTCCCTGAGAGGTAAACGTTATGAAATCCTGTCTGACTGTGGGACCAATTTCAATGGTGCAGAAGCAGAACTGCGAAGTGCCTTTGCTTCCATGGCTCCAGATCTCAGCCAAGAGCTTTCCAACCAAAAGGTGCGAGTCCAGTTTAACCCGCCTAATGCTCCCCACTCTGGCGGCTCCTGGGAGAAGTCGGTCAAGGCTGGACTAAAAGCTGCTTTGGGAGACCAGTCGGTCACAGAACCAGTACTTCAAACCGTCCTAGCTGAAGTGTAGGGGATTCTAATCAACTCAAAACCCTTAGGTTACGTCTCATCAAATGCCGCTGATGTTGATCCGATTACCCCAAACATGCTTCTGATGGGGCTGCTAGCTCCTACCCTTCCACAGGTCGTCTACACCTCCAAAGAATCCATGGGGCGACGACGATGGCGCCATAGTCAGGTACTTGCTTACCATTTCTGGGCTCACTTCATCAAATCCTACCTTCCCAGTCTACAGAGTCGGCAAAAGTGGCAGACTGAATCCAGAGACCTGGCATGTGGAGACGTCGTCATGGTCGTCGACCCCCAGCTAGTTAAAGAGCTCAGTGGCCAGTGAGGAAGTTGTGTGGGACACATCCTGGAACCGATGGACGTGTGAGAGCGGTCGAGGTCCGAGTCCATGACAAGGTGTACACGTCGCCCGCCTGGTCCGTCTGCCAGAATGCAAGGAAAGAGGACAATTAACTGCCCCTCTGAGGACCACCCAGAGACTGAACATTAACGGAAATGCAACTGGCATGTAAGTGTTTTCAATAACGTTTTCATTTTTCGTTCGGTTAAGCTGAATTTCTTTTCAATCCTCACTCTATCCATATGTTTCAAGACTGCAGAGTCCCTTTAACGTTGCTATAAACTGCTGGTGAGTATGGAGCCTTGACAGACAGGCACTCCACTCTAGCCCATGCATTTCTATGGGAAAGCTTAGCCCCGGGCCCGGCGCCCCGGCAGTTATAAAAAACCGCGGCCCTTTTTACCTCTGGCTTCTTTGTTGAATGACTGTTCTATGGGAGGTAAATCATGTCTGGGGCTTGACTGGGGGGGGGGGCTTATGTGGCCAAAGTGGAGATCGGCTTATAAATGTAGTCAAGTGGCTGCAATGTACATATAGGCCTAGTACCAGCCCCCCCCATCCAAAATATAACATAAAATGTCATGAAAGTGTTTCCTGGAACTCGAATAATCCAATTAAAGGGATTAAAGGCGCTTTAGGCCTCTCCCAAGGCGGCTGTTTACTTTCTAACTGAGTGGCATAAATCCATATGGATTATATCCGTTTTTTCTTAAAATATTTTGCTCGCAGGGTTAAGTAAGACTTTCTTGGTTTCACGTTTAGTACTCAAATGTGGGGGTGGCTGTGAGAAAGTCGAAGTATTTAGTAGGGCACCCTCGATAGTTTGCTTGTTTTCGCACCATACATTCCGTTCTAAAATCAGGTTCACCAAACACAGTTCCAACCAGCATACCTCCAAATTTGCCCTTACTCTACATCATACGTCATTGGCAATTGTGAGTACAGCCGTATATCCTTTACTGTTTACAGTATAAAATCATTCAGAGATTCTTAGAATATAAACTTTAGCCTTAATTGGGGATAATTGTTGCAACTTCAAGTTACATGTACATTTATGTTGTCATCTAGTGGGCACATGTACGTATATTTCAGTGAATTTATTAGTATTTATTTTCTGTTTATTCCCCAGTCACCACGGTTTCCTGTTCCATATATTTCCAAGACTTCATCACTGGTTTCATCTCCACCCTGCCTCCGTTTACAACATACACAGTTTCCCTAAGACTGCCACGGTATCCTGGTCAATTGCAAGTCACCACCCCCCTGTCTGATTATGTGGATATCGTACACAGACAGTTTCTTCATTAGACCACCCTACTCATCTGTTTAATTGCTGCTATAGTGTTGTTGTGTTAGCGCCTTTCGAGCCACGCCTCCCTTTCCAAGTGAACCTTTTCACTTCTTCACAAGCACACCTTGTTAAAACACCGTTGCCAGTCACATGCTGCAAAATGGATAATGCATTTCTAACTGGGTGTCTACACCTATGACAGCTAATGAACAAATTCGAACCGGCAGAGTACATCAGACAGACAGAAACTCCGTGCTGAAACAAACCCGAAATTTAGGGCAAAGGCCGCATATCCTTGTTTAATTAATGGGCAGCGCTACCCCCCAAAAAGTGAATGTTCCCAAGTCTTCTCAGCGGCCATTTTTGAAATGACACCCCTCACCAAGTTCCGGGGGCTCTTCTGACAAATTTGCAATCACATTTTTGTCTGCATTGCCCCAAGATGGGTCCCCCTGAATCAACAGAAATGATTCTGGGCCATACTGACACAGTCCCATCATTTCTTGGCCCAAACAGACCCCTCTTTTCAAAAGAATCTGCAGGGGTACTTTTTGTGCGCCTCCTGGCGGAGGTTTTTCCTAAGTTGAATTGGGACACTGCACCCATAGGGTGACCTTCCGTGAAAATAATATCTTCAAAAGTTATCGGCTAATGAATGGAAATTAGAACAGAAAATGAAAAATCGTAACATGGGTTTTAATTTGATGTGCGTCTTGAACACGTGAGAAACTCGTGAGTATTTTCTCTGTTTTTAAGTTCAGGCATTCATCACCGTTGTTGGCTATGGCAGTTTAGTTACTGGTCTGCTGCCATAGAATTAGAGAACAATCAGTAATGCGTAGCGCCCCCTCAAGTTTGCTCCAGGTGAAGTTGTAGTCTGGCGCGGCGCAAGCGCTTAAGATCTTTGATGGCAGTGTGCAAGGGTACCGTCCATTTTGATGCGGTGTTTTGAATGAATTGGCGCTTCATGGAGATCGTGATTCGTGATTGAGCCTTTGATTTGCCTTTGCTACCCTAAATGTATCTTGCAAGCATCAGATTGATGCTTAAAAATGTGAGTAAGATGTGAAGTAGACGAAGCATTCCTACACAGATATCATTTGTTACCCTGTGCATACTAGTAGGCCTAGCATGACAAATAACTTAGTTAGGTTAGTCATACCATGGAGGTAGAATTCTACCTCCATGGTCATACATGTCAATTTTTGTCATAAAGTCATACCAATCATAGTGGCATTTAGTGCATGTTTATTTCGCTGGCGTAGCATTACCATTAGCATTTAGCAGTTGTGTAGCATGTTAAGCAATGCCTACAGGTAGCCTAGGCTACAGCAACATGATTAATCACCATTGCATCATCAGATCATGTGCTTGTTATGTGCTTGTCATACTTCATGTGCTAAAAATGGGCATTCGTTGATAGGTGCAGAGTTCCATAGGCCTAGGCCTACATGGATATCACCAATTTTTGCCAACTCTATCATGTGTGTGCTTTATATCACCCATACCCATGCATGTCCTAAAAATTCAAAATTAGCATGTTTAGCACAGAAAATACTGAATCGTTTGCAACAACATAATTTAGGCCTATTTCCAAAATAGGCCCAGGCCTACTCAGGCAGTTATGACAGTTTTACCCTGTCTCACAGAATTCTATAGACATGTTAGACCAGTCTTACAGGCTCCAGAAGAATTCTAAATGCCACTAAATTTTCCCTGCAGTGACATGAGTGACCTACCGTGCCTACCAAGTACAATGCCTATGTTACACCCAAACTATAGCATCAGTCCCAACTATAGTTGGGCCCATCCCATCTAGAGTGCTACAGTTGGGCTGGCCCAACTACAGCAGAGAGGTCCTGTGTGCATGATGTGCCTAGCAAGTGCCAAAGTCATATTGTTTACAAATGTCATCGGTCCTAGGGCTAGAGGAACAGATGTTTTAGATGAATTGTGCCAAGTGTGAGACACATTGACGTGGATAATGTTGAGTAATTTCCCACAGACATTGGTCAGCAATAGTTGGGCCAGCCCAACTGCAGCACTACAGTTGGGACTATCCCAACTATAGTTGGACTTATGCCATAGTCAGGCCGTAACACCTACATGTACATGTATCTGGAAACAGTAAAGTGTCCTGAAAAGTCTGAAATTCTGCTGGTGATTTAGTGGTAAAATATTGAGGTAGACCCTACGTGTATTTACATGAGAAACACTTTGAATTTTGCAGACCAGTTTTAGGGCTTGTGCACAGGGTGTCAAGTGGAATTTCTAACTCAGTCCTGATCCTGCCATTTTCACATACATGTATAACCACCATGCACCCATAAATGTTATTGTTAGCATAATATTGGCATGAATAGTGTGATCCATGCTGCCCCTGTAGGTGTATGGGCATAGTAGAGAGGCAATTTTTGGAAACTAAAGCATTTTTCAGACAGTTTCATTTTTTGACAGTGTTGACCGTGTGATATTGATTATGCGTACGTGTACGCATGTACATGTAGTACTGGCTGACTACATGTAGTAGCTCGACCCATTTTGTAGGCGTGACAGGGTTTGTGTTCTACAGTAAGTGTCAAGTGATGTTTGTATAGAACTCTTCCCAGTGATGTTGTTGCAAAACAACATCTTTCACTTCACAGACTGTTCTTGTACAAAGTCAACACCTGTTTTGGAATTTTGAATGGCATTTTGGGATGAAAATGCAGCCACCTTACCCAGGTTTCTGAAAGCAAAGCACATCACAAGTGCATTGAGAAAATAAAGGCAAGTTATGAACATTTATGTGGAAAAACTCTATGTCCACATGGTGAGCTTGCCAGCCAAAAGTGGGGAAGATGTTAACTTGTTTCAACTGGGACTCTTTTCAGAGGCCTCTAATTCCACAATTAAAGCTTATGTGTGTGGTTAATTTTCCTTTTGCAAACAGACCTTTGCCCAAATAGTAGGAATAGAATATCATACCCGTTATCCCCTAAATACACATCCTGGGCTTACAGGGGATCCTCAACAATTGAATTTTTTATTTCCGCCTATAAATAATTTCAAAATTCAGTGGGCAATAACTCTGAAAGTATGTAAAAAACACTACTTTTGATAGCAGATTTTGAATGCCTGGGATCAAATCACCCTAGGTACATGCAGCCTGTACTTCTTATTCATTTTTGAGATACTGGCCTCCAAAATCCCTTGCAAAATTAATTTTTGTGGTTCGCGAGTGTAAGAATTTTGGCTGCAATTAGGGGGAGGTTTATCTTGGGAACCCTTTGGAGTGGAAGCCTAAGCTTTTGCATGTGTTCATTTTTCAGGTAGATGCTTTGTTTTAAAAAAATGAACCAAATCAGAAGATTTGTTTATGGCCTGGGTCATGTAACAGGGGTTAAATTGATAATCATTACATGAAGAAACTGCATGTATCTACATGTACATGTGCCCTATATTAAATCATGTTCACTGTTATTAAGCAGAAAATTCCACATTGGACCGTCACGTGTTTTTGAGTAAACAATATGTTTTAGTTTAGTCTTATGAGGAAAGGATATGCTATTCTAGAGCAGGTTAGATACATTTGTTGGTACATATACATGACATTTGAAAACAGTGAGGTCCAATTTGAAAATTATTTTTTGTATATGCCATCATACATGTATTATTTTTCTCACATTCAGATGCCATGATGAATGATGCTCTATCAAGGACAAATGCCTGGGTGAACCGGGCTGGAGTTGTCTTGGACCCCACACCAGTACTCGCCAGTCAACCTCAGCCAGAGTTGCCTACACAGAGTGACCAGGATGGTATTGCAGCTAGCAGAAGGGAGTTCCCCATTCCCTCTGAGCTTGCCACTGCAATTATGCAACTGGGTATAACTTTTGGATCATTGTTGTGACTTCAAACAAACCTCAGGATTTTTCAACCTTTATGGTCCTGAGACTCCAGTTTTTACATTGACTTTTTGTTTTAAATAGACGTAAAGTTAGTACTCATAGTATTGATGACAAAAGTTTGCCCCTATTTTGTCATGCATGGAAAGTTGGTTTGCATGTATATGAAATAATCAAGAATTGGAATTTTAAATATTAAGATCTACTCAATATCGTCATTGTATGTGGTTGTTATAACCTTTTACCAACCACAGTTTTGTGAGCATGCAATGTTATACATCTAAAGCAATAAGCCGATCCAGTTAGCCTGTATACGGTGCTCGTGATGACATCCATGGATTATGCTTCTCTCCATTGCCACACTGCGTGTACAATGTACACACATGTGGGATATATTACCAAAGCTGTGATTGGTTGAAAGGCCATGGCTTGGGGTTCGATGGATCAGTTTTTTACCAAATGAGGCAAGTTGGGGCACTTTCAGATGTGGAAATATTGAGAACAATCTATAGAAAAATTCTCTCCTGAAACCCTAGAATTTAAACTGTATGATCAGTCAGATTTGAAGTTCAAATTTCCATGTGTCGAATCTGTTTTGCTTCATTTCTAACCACTGTGGTCACTAAGACGTTGAACTGCATCTTCTTAGGGGTCATCCATGTTTTGTCATCTTTTTCATGAGTTTGCAAAAGATACATGTACATGTACGTGTTTGCTAGCAGTTTAAAATCCTTTTACACTTTCATAAACATGGAAAAAGGTTGATCAGCCATGCGCTTTTTCTTGTGTAAATGTTCAAGGGATAGGGGATGCACCAGGTGAAGGAAAGCATTTTGTATGCACCTGAAAAAGGGTGACAAACATGGATGACCTCTGGATAATTTATCGTCACTTCTGCACAGGTGAAGTTACTGAGCGAATGATTAAAAATCCTCCAGCTCAAATTGATGACAAAGTAGATAGTGTTTTGGGGTTTTTTTTGCTTTGGTCTTATTTGCCATATTGTGTCTGCAGACGCCAGTGCCGATCAAGCGGAGCACCAGCAGGCCAAGGAGCAGGCCCGACTACTTCAGCGGTTCCAGCAACTCAAGCAGTGGCAGCACCAGCAGCAGGAACGCCTGCTGCGACAGCAGCAGGAGCAGCTGCAGCTGCTGCAGCTGGAACAGCAGAGGGTGGAGCAGACACTGGTAGCACAGCGCCAAAAGCAGTGGGGAGGTATGTGGATGATCCACCCTGAGCAGAAGCACCCCGTCATCAGTTGAAAAGAGTTGTGTTGATACGGAGTGTTCATTTTGTTTGTCCACATGATGTGAGCATTTCATAGTTGTTTGTGAACCAGCAAAGTGCAGTTCCCACTAAAGGAGCCTCCATTGCTAGGAAAATTGTGCCATCACTTGGTCCAGCTCGGGGCTCATACAGAGGGCTGTACAGGTCTCTTGTAATCCTTGAAGTCCTGGAATTTTAAAAGTTTTCCAAGGCCTTGCGAGTCCTTGCATATTCATCGTAGGTCCTTGAAAACCCTTGAAAATTCACTTTTTATGATAAAAGTATCAATTCATGCAGAGCAACATAACGGCGAGTTTCAAAATACACCTTTAACCGGCTAAATTGACTGGCTACTTTCACTGGACTCAAGGGGATGGGAAATTCACTAGTACTGGTGGATCGGTGTTGTGCGATAAGCAGCCGTGATAAGCATTTTATATACTGTACATATATGCCAATTGGCAGTCATAAGCTAGGTGTATGTAATTACATTATATATAGATGCAGTGTACCCATGTACAGTACATGTACATTATACATACCATCAGTGTCTGCAATCACATTCATAAGAGCTAGATGAATACTTCAAAGTATGTGTGGTCATCCGTCATTGTTTTCTTGTTTGTGGTTTTTGTTATTTTAAAATGACTTTGTTTCGTTAGTTTGTGAGTTCCCATTTTGTAATGTGTTTAACTGCCGTTTTAAAATTTAAAATAAGATACTTAATGGCAAGAAAGATAGAAGATAGAAAGATCTGTGTATTGGATGAATTTAATTGTTTGATATTTATTCTAAACATTTTTCTCCAACTGGTAGGTATTCAACAAATCCAGCAATCACCACTAAGGACTCGACCTGGTCCCCATCAGCAGAGGAACCCCAGTTCCAGTCCTTTCAGATCCAACCTCCCAGATGCCGTGGCTAAAGCCTCCATTGCTTTGGGCCAGACTGCTGGCCCGCTGGTCCTCAATCCGCTTCTGATGAATGCTCAGAGAGATGCCCAGGATCCTGCATACCTGGTAGTTCTTCTGTCCTTTAGGCCAGACTTTACAAATTGTCCAAATTTAGCATACCTTTCCATGCCACTTCAGCTTTTTTTGTTTCGGTTTGCTATGTTTTTGTATTTTTGTATGGCTGAGGTCAAGAATATGGTATTCACAGAATGACTTTTTTTTTTCTTGGTGTCTTTTTTGATGGCTGTAAGTGGTCCACCCCCCTTGAATGTATGTGTAGATTGAGAAGGAACGTGGTTGCGCTTTTCTCCGTTGCTACCATACCCCTGGTTCACACTTGAAAATCTGTGATTCTCGTCAAAGTATACCAAGCAAATTGACTCAAACAACCTTTGGCATAAAATATGGATCTTTATCTGAGCTAGGAGAATTCACTTATTATTTAAAAAACTTGTGCAAATGATTACAAAAACATGAAAAAGACACCCCTTACATATATCGTACATATTCCATATCCAGTCTCTTTGTTGTTCATCTCAAGTGAAAGGTCTTGTCACTCACTTTAATCCGGTCCAAAAATTTGAAGTGATGGTGTTTGTACATCATCTTGGGTGCATCATCGACTCACCAGGTTTCTGCAATTGTTTGGCATAGCCAGTACCATCGTGGGCCGGCTTGATCATCCCAGGTGGAGCAAGGCCAATCTTTTGCAAAACTCCAATTTTACTGTGAGTGTGTGCTTTCTGCCCTCCTTTATGGATTTGAATCCTGCACACTCCAAAAGAAAGAACAAGAACTCATTTAAGCTTTCCTCATTTGGTGTCAGCATCGCATACTTGGAATTCAGTGGTTTAACTTCATATCCAGTGCAACCATCCAGCAGCGCAACGGGCTTGGTAGCATTTAATCAGGGATCTTGGGAGCAGGGTTCCAGTCACGGTGGGCGGCGCCGAGTGGCACCACCCGGTACTGCAAATTTCCGCCCGGCACTCAGGGTTGAAATTGGCTATGTCACCCAGCATGGATTTTCCAAAAAATGAACTGAAATATTACTGAAAATTTAAATGTGCCAATTCGATCATATTTCAAGCATCAGAAAGCATTGAGAACTGCACTCACTATGCTTTGTAATCCAAAAATTTACCCAGCACTAAAATGGTCCTAGCTAGAACACTGCTCGAGAGACAACAAACTCTTTCTGATCTCCAAACCCTGCGCCTGTTTACTTTGGCCTTCGTGCTGCCGTCCAATTCCACCTTGGGTGACGACCTGCCACCTGGAAGAGGCCTCGTGGTACCAGCTTACCTGGCTTCTGCAGGTTGTAGATGCTGTACAGCTGACACCAAATGAGCCCTGTTCTCTTGCCCTTGATCAGGGAGGATGGAGGTCACTATGACCCATATGCTGATTGCAGCTGTAGTAATAGTAACTTTAGCACAAGAAAATTTGTCCACCTGCAAACTCTGTGTATGATAACATTGTGATTCATCTGAAATGATAAAGTCATCATCGTTTCCATATCAAAATTGATTAATGCAAAATTAGATCTAAAATTGTCACTCGGTTGATTGAGTTTGGTGAGATTTTCAGTGACCACAGGATGAACGTCCATGTTAGTTCTATTTTCAACACCTGGCTTAAAGTTTCTGTAATTCAGACAATTTTCAAGCCTGTGGATTACACGTATACTTGTGCGTGTAGAATCTTCCACTGCTTTTGCACCAGACCTCATAATAGCTCAGTGGTTGCTCTATTAATGTCATGCATATGGAATCAGGTTGGTGTAGTGGCTCTTGCGTTGCCTTCCACCTCTGTGACCCGTTTTTTAATCCCAGCTTGGTCAGCATGTGGATTTGTTTTTAGTCCCTGCCTAATTTCATGGGCTTTCCCTGGAATATTTTTGTGAGCTTTTTTTCTTCATTGTGCTCATAATCGAAGATTACGTCCTGCTCGGAATAACGTCAAATGAAGCACATTCAGTGAGATTGATGACCAAAGCTGTGGACGACAGCACAGTTAACAGTCTGCTTGTGATTACTGACAAATGCCTTGACTGCATATTTTTGAAAGAAGATGAAGTAGAGAAAGTGGCTCTGCAAAGTGTGGCAACAGACACAAGCAAGGGAGTCTTTGTGCTGACTTGCCCCTTTAAATGCCCACGTACCCATTTGTGTCAGGATTGAGAGCTTTTCACTTTGTCTCACCCGTGGACACATACATGTACAAAGCTGTTGAACTTACTAGTACAATCTGTATGTGCTCAAAGGATCTTTGTTTGTGGCATAGCATTTTTCTTTTGATGAAGCTAGTGTTTTGCATGGAATCTTGTCTGAATTGCCACAGTTGGTCTCATTAAATCCCTGTCCTTGTTTTTATCAACCAGAGGACTGATTCTGACTTGGCTAGTGAATCGGCCAGCTCAGTTGTCGAGGAAGGAGTGTACCCTCTCCCTGATACAGCATCGGAGATGAGCTTTGGTGTCATTGAGGAGGATGAGGAAGCGGTAACTCCTACCAATGGTCAAGATGAGGCCAAGGAACAAGTTGACGAGGATAATGCAGAGACGGATAACTCCCTCGATGAGAGCTTACAAGATGCTGCTGCACTTAACCGCAAGGTAATGTGAAATAACATTCAATGCAGTATTGTAAAATGTTTCCTTTTATCAACAATGTATTTTACCCTTGTTTGTTTAAGAAAGCACTGTACGCTCAGTTCTAATCAAGAGCTAGTGAGAAAAGCTTCATATACTGTTATGCCTAGCGTAACTCATTTACAACGCAAACTCATGATGTCTTGATTATCAGTCAGGCTTGTTGGTGTCAGCAACTGTGATATTATATTCACTTTAATAAAATGTTGCCACGAGCTAACCCTTTTTTTGTTGAAAACTGAGCTATGATACATTTTAATAGTTTCTTTAGCCCATTTTGAAGAAAGAAAAAAAGCTTTTTCTCTATTGTTAACAGTACCCCATTTCAGCATTTGAAAGATATGCAACAATTCTGCGCATTTAACCACTACCTGCCAGGGACTCCGAAACCGGAGCCGTATGGTTTATATGCGTTGCTGGGGTCTCCGAACTTGGAAAAGGAAGCAGGGCCCTGTAACAAAAGACCGTACTCTGAACAAAAGACCAGGCTGCTGGGCATTACCGGCATTTT